AATTAAGAAATCAAACTAGGCAATTACAAATCAAAAAGTAGTAAGTCACTGCTCTAGACACTGTCCACCATTCTTGAACATTTTCTCTTCAAATGAAAACATTTGAAATAACTCATAATTTTTGTGAGAACTTGATTACGCATTATCAATTTAAACACGACTAAATCATACTGGTTCGCCTCCACAAAATCATCTTTAGAATTTGCTTCTTGTAAAATGTGTTTTTGGATTTCATTTATATAAAAACAGCAAAACATGAGAATACTATAAAGTACTCTTTTGCATTTAAACATGAAGTTTCAAATAAATATGGCATCTCAAACTGAGAAATTTTGATAAAGATATGACTGGCTCAAGACTGATTTAATGTTGCCTTTTATCAAAATTTTTAATATTTTAATAAGTAAAAATAAATGCTCCTTTCACTGTTAAATTTTAGCTTTTAAATTTTAAAGTAGTCAGAGGGATTTTGTTCCTATGAGAACTAATTCAAGAGGATGAACAAAAGATACTTAATGATCCTAATGCCCTATTTGTCCCAGTTATCTGACCTATATTTCCAGAGGTAGCATTATAACCTAGAGCTCTTTTTTTCCCCACAAAATATTCTGACTTCTACTTTTTAACTGGGGCAAATGTTAACAATGAGACAGAGCTTTTAATAAGGCAACACATTTTATTCTTAATACTTTTACTATTTTATAAAACAAGCAAAAGGCAGAATTTGATGCATTATAAATAAGAAACGGTTTGCAACATTTTATATTACCCATGACTTTCTTCCTTATTCCTTCAGCAATATTTGGATGGACTGTTAAAAGGATCTCTAAAGTAGGCTTATAGATAAATTAGAAAATTTCTTTGAAGCACTCCACCCATCACATTTTATCAACTTGCAAAATCAGTTTGTCCTATCCACACTTACTTCATTTTCCATTTTCTCACTACAATTAATCAACATTACATTCTGTTCTCTTTACATTGTTCTTTGTGTTGTGAAATAAGAGGGCACAAATGTCTGCTTCTTTCAGAATCCTCTTCTCACACAATCTGATAGTTGGACAGCATCTTGAAAGTTATCTAGTCTAACCTCCCACCCAATCCTTTCTACAACATTATGAACTTACAGTCACACAATCTTCACTTGAACCTCACTACTTCTCCCAGCAATCCCTTTCTTTATTGGGCAACTCAAAAAATTAGTTTTTCCATATACTGAACTGAAATCTTCTTGCAACTTCTAACCAGAGGTCATGCTTCTATCCTCTGGAGAATCAAAGAATTAAGTCTATTACCATTTTCTATATGACAGCCCTTCAAATATTCAAAGATAGCTATCATGTTCCCCAGTGTTTTCTCCAGGTTCAAACATCTCTAATGCCTTCAAATACTCATTTGATAAAAATTTCTGATTTCTTGTCACCCTGACCACGCTCTCCTGAAAGTACTCAAGTTTATAAATGTCTCTCCCCCTTAAAATATGCAACCCAGAACTAATGATGCTTTAAATGTGGTCTATCCAGAGCCGGTTATAATTCATTCAAGAAGTATTCATTTAATGTCTACTGCATAATGAACCCTGTGCTACAGAATGGAGAGTGTATAAAATTTACGTCCCTTTTTGGAAAACCACTGTATCCATCTGTATGGGGCCAGATCAATGTGTGTGGCATCTTTTGTATATCCTGTTTCAGTATCTATATTAAAAGATTCTCTTTTTTTAAAAAAAGAACGTAAAAATTTAGATAAAAACAAAGACTCTTCCCTTGTGGAATACTAAGGGAGAAATTTGGGAGGCAGAAAAAGAATGAGGCAAATGTGCTGTTTCAAGTGGAGGGAAAAGGTGTCCAGTAGGAAGGGTCGGGCAACAGTCTAAAGAATTGCAGAGAAGTCAAGGATGATAATGACTAAAGAAAGGCCATTCAATTTACAAATTATGATATCATTAATGATCTTTAAGAGAGCAGTTTGAGTAGTTAAGGCAGAAACTAGGATGTAGGGGTAAGGAACAGGGGGGCAAAGAAGTGGAGGCATCAGGTACAGAAATTTTTTTTCATGTAAAAGGGAAAGAAGAAGAAAAGTAGGACAACAGCTGTACTATTCTAAATTTGGTTGTTTGGGTTCTAAGGGTTCTACGTTTGATGTAGAGAAAAGAAAGTCAGACTTGGAATAACGAGAAGAGCTAGGTAGGAACTCTGGCAATACCAGAATATTAGAACTATGACATGAAACAAGTTATTCTTCTCTGTGCCTCTGTTTGCTCATCTATAAAATGATCTCTAAGGTCCCTAAATTCCAACATTTCTGCAAACACCATCTTTCTAATGATGCAGCCTATGACTAAGTATCTTTTCCACCACACTACAGATATACTGAATTAGTTAACTAAGACACCTAGGGCTCTTTCATGTGCATTTCTAATTAATATGAGTCAACTCCATAGTGTTAAAACCACATGGAGAATTTTTTATTTATTCCTGCTAAATGTAATCTTATCTAATTCAACACATCATCATAAAAGATCAAGATTATTTTGAACCTTGATTCTATCAATTGGATTTCCTGTTCCTATTGACTTTGAATCATTTCCAAATTTCATAAACATGATTTATATGTCTTCATTAATGCCACTGATAAAAATGTTCAACATAATTGGGACAAGGACAAAGCTAACAGATATGCCATTAAATACTTTCTGCCAACTTGACATAGAAATTAATTTGAAGTAATTAATCAACTCTGGGTTACCACTGTTTAAACAAGGGCACATCCACTCAATGGTACTATAATCCAGTACCATTTGTCCATCTTACCCACAAAGATATCACAAGACTTTGCTAAATACAATAACAATATCAAGGTATACTGCAGCAGTGCCATGATCAATTAACATAATGATCTTATCAAAACAAAAGATATAAATTTAATTAGGCATAATTTGTTCTTAGTGAATCTTTACAAGATATTAGTAGTCACCACTTTTTTCTCAAGTGCACTCAAATTATCCATTTAACAATCCATTAAAGAATTTTCACAGGAACTAATAAAGCCAAGCTTATTTATGAAACCACTTTTTTTAAAAAATTGAGGCATTTCATATATACGTATGTGCATATGCACATATATATTGTGCATGTAATGCTTACTGATGACTTTTCCTTCACATTGCTGGCATTTTCCACCTCCCCTACCCTAACTGAAACTCCTTTTGTGACAAAGAAAAACAATGAAATAAAAATACCAAATACAGATCACATCTGATAATGTATATGATATTCTTCATGACATTACTCTTAAAGATTATAGACACATTTATGATTTCTTTTTATTTCCTGGAAATTTGATTGAAACTGGCTATTGACTCCTCTCTTAGGCTTCAATTCTTTCTTTCTTGTTATTTTACCCTTTTTAGTTAGAACCTGATGGAAAAGACGGAGGCAAAACAGTCAAATAATTCTGCCTTTACTCAGTCATAAATATAACATCTTCCTTGTTCTCAATAAAGTATAGATTATATATGGTGGAGGCAAAATATATTTCAAATGCCTGAAAATAGGCTTTAATATCTTCCTATATGCTCACAGGGAAATAAGTACGTAAGTAGCGTACTTCATTTAGTCATTTCTCAATCAAACATCTAACAACGGGCAACACAGAATAGTGTACCATAAATTTCTAGCGAGGTCCTTATCAGAAAGGTCTGTTATTTGATCTCATACACCCTATGTTCATAATAAAGTAAGGATCAGTTATATGGCATGCAACAGCACTATGCCTTCTTCCCGGCTACCTCAAAGAGCTAGTGGCTGAAATACACTCTTCATTCAGGTCATTCAGCAGCTCCCCCTAACCCAGTGCTTTCAGGTCACAGTGATTAGCAGCCCTCCAACCTTGCTTGAGTCAAACTGACCTTTTTTTAATTTATGGATTTTCATTAAATTTTCATTTCAAAATTCAGGAGAATTTTATACATGCCAGACATGGTAAAAGTTTTGGTGAGTTTTTTATTTTGGTATTATCTCAACACAGAATTATCTCAACACGGAATTCAATAGTAAGAAAATTTTAGCCCCGATTCTCAACAAGTAAAATTCAGTCTGGTGGAGTCTATTGCTCCATTCTTTTCTGGATGGTGGCAGTATTGAACCATTTCAAAATTATTACCTTCCATTGCTCAATGAACACTAAATTCCAAAAAAATGGAAATGTGAAGATTATATGGGGTTTTTTTTTTTGGTATGGAAATTACTTCCAGAGCAACTTTAATACTTTCAACATGTTTATGTAATTTTAAGTTGTACTTTTGTAAATAGAGAACAATTAAAAATATCAGGTATAATTTATGAAAATTTCAAAGTAAAAATACAAACTATCATAAGATGCTTATTTATTGTTTTTTCCAGATATGAACTGACCAATAAATGATTCACATCATCCTATAATATGATCATTCATTAAATAATACCTCTGCAAGCATGAAATGCTTCCTTTTCTACAAGGAATATACATAAGAAATTTGATGTTTCTGGCTAGCAAAAAAAGATTTACATTTCCATTCCAGTGTTTCTGTTCCATGTAAGCCTTATTTTCTCTCTCTTTCACATGAGAAATACCACTTTTAAGAGCAAAGGGGAAAAATGCTAAAAGAAAAAAAAGGCCCTGCTTCTCAGAATACGGGTAAGTTAGGCACTCCTACCTCTTTCCAGAATCCTCTATCTACAGCAGAAGTCAGCAAATTGCAGTCATTGACGATTTTGTTCAGCTTGTAAGCTAAGTATAATTTTTACATTTTTCAGTATAATAAAACTTTATTTAAAAATAAAAAAGCCATCCTGAGCTCTCTGGCAATTTGCTAACCCCTGTGCTAAAGAATTATTTCATCATCTTAAAATCTTTTAAAATGACTAAATAAGAGAGATAAGACATTTCTGTTAAAATTTTCAGTTTGTAATGTGATTAACATTTTAAATCTAAGATATATATCCTCTATTTGATTTTACCTTTCTTTGTTCCTGTTCCTTCTGCTGAAGTTTATGGACTAAATGGCTGGCTGCTTGCACTGCAATAGAATAGAAAGCGATTATAAGTCTGAGACCAGGGAGAAAAATAGACTTCTATAATTTTGGAGTTGAAAAAGATAATAGGATTCAGTTAGTCCAACCCTCTTGATTCAGAGAGGGGGACTGAAACTCAGAAGGTACACAGCTAGATTGGGAATTGAACTAAAAAATGTTAAGGGCTTTAAATTATTGTAATATCCCTACACATTTTGCAAGTACATCAATTTGCTAAGAAAATGTTTGCCAATAGATATACGAAAGTCACTACAAACCCAAAGCAGAAACTTCATTCCTTAAGCATTCTAGAAACCAAGTAAATAAAGTAGCTATACATTCCTATGATTACATATTTCTCAGGATCTAAAAAAATTTAAAATGCCTGATAAGTTAATATTAGAAGTAAATATTTTTCAGTCTCTTATTCATATTTCTCTTTGTATTCCAATTGTCACAATTCTAATCTAAGCATCTCTTCACACCTAGACTAAGGCAGGTTTCCAAATTCTTCCTCCCATCTTTAGTCTCTCCCCCTCCAATTGATCCTATATCCCACAGCCACATTAGTCTTATTAATCTTATCAAGTCACACCTGCCAATAGGATCAAGTTCAGAATCCAGTCTGTCATTCGAGGACTTCTATCAATTAACTCCCCAAGTTTCTCACTACACCCAAAAAATACCTGCCACTCTATTTTATTTCCTTATGCTTAAAACAACATCTGTGTCTTTGCTCAAGCTGTTTTCTCTCCCTACCAAAAATCCTTTCTTCTCCTTTCTAAAGCTTACACTTTTCTCAGTGGCTAGCTCAAGGTTCATCTTTGCATGAATTGCTTTTTTAGTAACCTCATCATATAAGGAGTTGCTACTTATTCTGAACTCCCTTAGCACTTATGCACATAGATGGTATAACATGTGACAGTTATATATTCACTGAAGATTATTTCACATATCTTCTACTCAGATCATAAGTTGCTTGTGAGAGCTTGTGAGACACCTTGATATAATAGTTCTAGAAGAAAAAAATTGGAAAGAGAAAAAATGGTTTAGAATGGTAGAAATTTTACCCAAGATATAGACTCCCTGAAAAACAGAATGAAGCAATCAGAACTCAATGCCTACACAAGACAAGAAATATTTAAAGAAAGCCAAAAAATCTGGGTAGTGTTAGTGGGTGGGGGAGAGTTATAAAACAGAAGAAAATATATGGTATCTGCTATCAAAAACAACTACTCTGGGAAATAAGTGAATGAGAGGTAATTTAAGACTCATCCAACTCCCTGAAAACCAAGAACACACAAAGAACTTAGACAATAAATTTCAAGAAATCATAAAAGAAAACTACCCAGATGTTTATTGCCAGAAGGCAAAATAAAAACAGAAAAACTCTATCAGTCACTTCTGGAGATATCTCAAACTGAAAACACCCAGAAATGTCATAGCTAAAATCTACAGCTTTCAAATCAAAGTATAAACAGTTCAAGTACACAAGAAGAAAAAGTTTAAGGATCAAAGAACCAGTTTTTTGCAAATTTCATTTGCAAAGATGCCACTCCCCCCTCAAACAAAATATAGAATTAGAGTATTAAAAATCCTGAGGCAGAAGGAAAAAAAATTAAGAGATAATAATAATGGAAGGATATTTGAAAGTTCTAAAAACAAGAATAACGATAGAATCTAAAATTATAATCTAAGGATAAGTCTTCCAGAAAACCATGATTTAAAAAATGTATATCATATTACAGAAAAATCATACAAGAAAATTGTCTAGAAACATTTGTAAACAGGGGCAGCTAGGTGGCACAGCAGATAGAGCACTGGCCCTGCAGTGAGGAGAACCGAGTTCAAATCTGGCCTCAGACACATAACACTTACTAGCTGTGTGACCCTGGCTAAGTCACTTAACCCCACTGCCTAGCCAAAAAAAGGAAAAAAAAATTAGGGGAACATTGTAAACAGATGACAAAGTATTGATCAAGAGAAAACCAACAGAAAAACTCAAGTTTAATTCACAAAGAAACTTTATGGTCAAAACTCAGAATTACAATATCAAACAACAAATATTGGCTACTGCCAGGAAAAAAATAAAAAACAAACCTTTCACATGCCAAAGAAAACCAATCAGAATAGCACAATACCCCTCATTTACAAGAAATCAAAGAAACAACGGGGAATTACTATGAAAAGCAAAAATTAGTCTGCACCATAAAATTTCATATCCTGCAAAGCTGAAACTAGTCCTCAATGAAAAAAAAAAAGTGGACAACCAGCAAAAAAGGAAGAATTCAAGTCATTCCTTCAAAAATCCCCAGAGGTGAGCAAGGTTATTCAACATGCAAGCTCAAATAAAAAAAAAAGTGTAGATGAAAGACTAATAAATGAAATTAATGTTTGTGAATATGTAAAACTGATAGTTCAAAGAAGTGGATCAGTATTAACAAAAATATAAAATAACCAAATGAACAACATAATAGGAAACAGGAAAAATCCAATCTCAGAAAAAGAAACAGAACAAGCTGAAAAGAGCCACCAAAGTAAAAACAAACAAAAAACCCCCCCCAAAAAAACATTCCTGGTCCTGAAAGATTCACAAATAAATTTTACCAAAGATTTGAAGACATTAATAATATCTCTAATATTTTCACATACTCAAAAAGACTTGTAATCTCTCGTAGATATCAGTTTTCCACCCAAAGATGGGGACTGTGACTCATACATTCCTACCCATCCTAAGCAAATCTTATCTACATCCTCTGATAAATGTGACCTGCATTCACTCAAAGTGCTAGTAACTTTCTTTGCTTTTTCCTAATATCACACAAATACCAGTGGAAGACACAGGCTATCTATTAGGCGTCTCTTGCCCTTGCCAAGGGACCAGCCTATCTTTTTAAAGCATCCATATTTTTGATGACTTCCTTTATATCAGTTCTTTGTAGTTTTTTTATGATTATGAATTTTAGCCTGCTCACATTTACCAAGCATCTCCAAATTGTTCTGATAATCAGTTCTGAAATTTTCCAAAGGCAATCCAGTTTGCTCTCCTTGTTTTAAATTTGGGGACCACTCATTCCTTTACACTGATAGTCCAGGATAAATGTGTTATATACGTGGATATAGATGTGTATATACACATATACATACATATATACATTTATATACAGATATAGGGGATTCCAAAAGTGTAAAACTTTTGGGATAGCCTGTATGATACTTTGTAACATACATATACTTATGTATATCATTACACAATATATGATAAATTATTATATATAATCATACCATATTATACTTATGACAATAGTATGTATCATATAATCTCATACACCATTATTATATCATATATCGTTAATAAGTATACAACATATCATTAGATACTATATATGTAAATGAAATAATTATATTTTAACATAATTATAATTATTGATATATACTACATCAATATCATACGTAATTGATATATAGTCTATTAATAACAATGTATAATAATGTTACATATGGTATAATTATATATGTGCATACATATTTTACACACATATATCTTGGACATATGCATATGTACCCAACAGATGAAACATGTATGAATGGTTAGGTTCCCATAGTGGACAATACCCCTGGAGGGTGCTGGAATGATCCAGAGGGGTGGTAGTGGTCTCAGGCGCAATTGGGGCACTTTGAATAAAAATAAAGGGGTGATGGAAGCATAAGGAAAGAAGAAAAGAAAATTTTGAAAAAACATTTGTACATATTTCGTCTGTTGTGTAACAGAGTTAAAGTCGTAGTGATTACATTATTTTCCAAATAATCACACAAAATACAAGTCATAACCTCTTAGCAGCCAAGTCCACCAGCAGGTCTTAACGAGGAAGTGTTGGCAGGTGAGTGTGTTGCGCATGGGAAGTCTAGCATGCACTGGCAGTAATATGTGTGTGTAATGACTTGTTTACAATACGATGCTATGTGGTTACATGATGCAATACTGCGTCATCAAAATTTCAATGCAGGAAAAAAATCCACAAATTTGCAATAAATTATTAAATTTAAGACGCATCGTTTATTTTTTAAACATTTATATGTATTTTTGTAATGATGTAAATTAAAAAAAATTGTTTAAAGGTTCAAAGAAAGTAGATTGGGGGGTGGGCTGAATAACTTTGTTTTTTTTAAAGGGGGCAGCAGGCCAAATAAGTTTGGGAACCTCTAGATTGTAAACAAAAGCTCTAAGTGACTGATAAACCAATAATGGCCCTTGAAAAGAAACAAAGAAACATTTCCCTCCTCTCCAGAGGCCACAGGATTTTAAGAACAGTGTTGCATTGCATTGTCTGTTGTAACTATTGGTTGTTTTTCATGAATTTTTTTTGTTGTTATAAGTAAGGGGGAAAGAGAGAAGAGAATTACCCAGAAATGAAATTGATGTAAAATAAAGGACTTTAATAAGACATTTTTTTTTTTGGCTAGGCAATGGGGTTAAGTGACCTGCCCAGGGTCACACAGCTACTGAGGATTTTGTGTCTGAGGCCAGATTTGAACTCAGGTCCCCCTGACTCCAGGGCTGGTGCTCTATCCACTGTGCCACTTAATAATACATTTTTAAAATAAATGTCGAGTTTTTTCAGAACTACTAACAATTAATAAATACGGCACCTATAACTTTAGCACTTCATTCAAGCATGAATAGAAAATGATAGATACAAATAAAAGGGTCATTAACATATACAGAGCAAGAGTCATAAAAACACTGGATGGTATTACCTTGATAGGGCTGTATCAGACATATAAACTTGTAAGATTTCATACAATTTTTCTGTTCAGTCAGTGGACAAATCATAAAACCTAACATTCAGGTACAATATGATTTTTTAATCTTTATAATTCCTATATTTCTCCCAAGAAGCAGGTTACAATATAATTTTATCTAAATATATCTTAATTTTGTAAAAAGCTGCATCTGGAATATAGGTAGATTATTATCTCTGTTAGCCCTCCATGACCCACAGTG